CCTGACGTACTCTTCATGTCGTCTATTGATCCTGCCCAATCACTGTTGGTGTAACAAATCAACCTTGAGTTGGTCATGGTCTTGTACCATATACGAAACTCTCTTGTACCTTGCAGATACCTTAAAATACTTTTTCTTTCTCCATAGTGAATCTGGCTTGGCTTTTGCATGAATCTTAATAGAAGACTTGTAGCATATATAGAAGGCTTCCGATCAAACTCCTGTATCATGATACATCTACTTCTGGTACTCCATCATCTTTCTTTAGCTTTTCGTTTACCACTAAAGGGATAGTGACAGATTTACGTCCGTACATCTTGAATCTCTTTAGTAAAGCTTCAGTATATTTCTTCTGAGAGATAAATATTTCTTCTTTTTGTTGTATCACCTCTATCTCGAGGAAGTAGTTCATCGAGCCAAGATCAGTCATTTCGAATGTTTTCATCATATCTTCTTTGAATTCTTTCATCATTTTCTTATTGTTTCCTGTATAGATGAGATCATCAATATATAAGGAGACAATGAGATTATACTGACCTTGTATCTTGATATAAAGTGTTGGCTCACTCTTGCTCCTCCTGAATCTTTGATAGATAAAATATTTATCAATTTTGTTATACCATGCTCGAGGAGCTTGCTTCAGGCCATATAGAGTTTTTCTTAGTCTTAGTACTTTACCTTCATGGCCTTTGTTGATGAAGCCTTGTGGTTGCTCAACATAGATCTCTTCTTCAAGTGTTCCATTGAGAAAGGCGGATTTGACATCCAGTTGATGGATGTTCCAACCTTTTTGTGCAACAAGGGCTATTAAAGCTCTAATTGTATCCAGACAAGCAACTGGAGCAAAAGTCTCATTGTAGTCAATTCCAGGTTGTTGTGAGTATCCTTTTGCGACCAATCTTGCCTTATATTTTTGTATGGCTCCATCAGGGTTGAGCTTTGTTTTATATACCCATTTTACTCCAATGATATCTTTTCCGTGAGGAAAGTCCACAAGCTCCCAAGTATTATTCTTCTCAATCATTTTGATTTCTTCTTCCATGGCCTTGACCCATACTTCTTACTTTGAAGCTTCTTCATAGCAGGAAGGCTCAATGATGGCCATGTTACAAGTTTCATATATATCTACCAAAGATCTTACACGTCTTGGTGTAGACTCTGGTGAAGTATATTCTTCTTCTTCTTGTGGAGGCGTACTTGGATCTCATGTGTCTTCTTCAGGTTGTTGTACTGGAACCAGGATGTTGCTTCTAACAATTTTTTCTTCTTCCCAATTCCAAGAAGCATTTTCGTCAACCTCAACATCTCGATTGATGACGAGTTTTTTTGTTTGTAGGTTGTAGACTCGATAGCCTTTTGATTGTTGGTTGTATCCCAAGAATATTCCTCTTATAGTTTTTTCTTCAAGCTTATGCTTCCTCTTATCAGGAATATGTATGTAGAAAATTGATCCAAATATTCATAGGTGTTTAGCTGATAGTTTTCTTCCACTCCAAGATTCAATAGGAGTCTTGTTTTGGACTGCCTTAGTTGGACATCTGCTTAGTATGTAAACTGCAGTGTAGACTGCTTCTGCCGAAAAAGTGTTAAGTAGGCCTTTCTCTTTTAACATTGATCTTGTCATCTCAATGATAGTGCGATTTTTTCTCTCTGAGACACCATTCTATTGTGGAGAATATGCGACTGTAAGTTGTCGCTCAATACCTTCATCCTCATAGAATTTATCAAATTTGTGGGAGGTGTACTGTTTGTCTCGATCGCTCCTGAACACCTTTATCTGTTTTCTGCTTTGCTTTTCGACAAGGGCCTTAAATTTTTTGAATATTCCAAAGACTTCTGATTTTGCTTTAATGAAGTAGACCCAAGTCATTCTAGAAAAATCATCAATGAAGAGAATGAAGTACCTGTTATTATTAAGCGATGGAGTCCTCATCGGTCTGCAAATATCTGTGAGGATTAACTCCAACAAGTCTTTTGCTCTCCAAGTTTTTCTGGTGAAAATGGTAATCTGTGTTGCTTTCCCAGAAGACATCCTTCACAAGATTCACTACTCTCCTTAAGGCTTGGTAGATCTCTCATCATGCCTTTTTGATGTAGTAGCTTTAAGGCATGAGTATTGAAGTGGTCAAATCTATGATGCCATAGCCACGAGTCATCAACTTATACTTTCATGACAATGTTAGTTCCTTGATTGAAGCTTAAAGGAAAACTTTTATTTCTCTTTTCCATTTTTACTTGGCCAATCTCTAGATTTTTCTTATCATAGATAGTGCATGTATCTCTTTCGAAATGGAGAGTATATCCTTTCTCCATCATTTGACCAATACTTAAGAGATTTTCTTTGAGATTGGGAACTAGTAAGACATCATTGATAAATCTCATACCTTTCTTGGTCTCCACCATAACACTGCCTTTTCCTTTTGACTCTACCACGGTGTCATTTCCCAATCGCACTTGAACTTTGATGGAGTTATCAATTTCTTTGAAGATGCTTGGATCATTCGCCATATGGTTACTACACCCGCTGTCCAAGTACCATCTTCCTTTTGATTCATTATCAGAGCATCCCATAACATAGAAGAGATGTTGTTCTCTATCCTGTTCTTTAGCAAAATTTGCTTGTTGATGATTTTTGTTGCGACACATTTTCTCCACATGTCCAAATTTCTTACAGTATTGACATTGAGGTTTTCCTCGATGCCAACAATATTTTTTTAAGTGACTTGTCTTTTTGCAAGTGTCACATAAAAGATATTTTCCTTGAATAGTCTTGGAAAAATTTCTAGATTTTTTCTTATTCCTAGAAAGTTCTCTATTAATTTTATTTCTTCCATTCTGAGATCGTAATTTTAGTTTTGATTGAAAAGCATTTTCGACTGAGTTTTCTTCACGCCTTTTCAATCTTTGTTCATATGTTTCAAGAGAGCCTATTAGTTGTGTCACTGATAATATAGATAACTCTTTTGTTTGTTCAATTGCAGTTGCAATTGCATCATATTTTGGGGGAATAAAAATTAGAATTTTCTCAACAATTTTCTTATCAAGAATATTTTCCCCATAGGCTCTCATCTAGCTAACTATTTCTTTTATTCTAAAATAGTAGTCTTTTATGGTCTCATATTCATTCATTCTTATTAACTCAAATTCTCTTCTTAGTGAATGGAGTTTAATATTGCGTACCTCATCGCTTCCTTGAAACTCCTCCTGAATTGTATTCCAAGCTTCCTTTGCACTTGTGGCGCCCATTATTCTTAGAAAAATAGTGTCATCAACTGCTTGTTGAAGAGTAAATAATGTCCTTGAATCCTTCTGTTTGTTTTCTTTCAGCTCCTTCCTCTGGACAGCTGTAAGAGTTGAGATGTCTTCTGGAATAGTGAACTCATCTTCTATGACGTCCCAAAGATCTTGAGAACAAAAAAATGTCCTCATTTTGACTCTCCAAAAGTCATAATTTTCTCCCTTAAAAATAGAGATTGGAATGGATGATGTTTGGTTGGTAGTGGTTATAGGTTGAAATTTTTCTTTTGAAAGTAATGTGTAGTGGGATTGAGTTTTTTAAGGTAGTCAAAAAAATTTTCTACGGCCAGTAGGCGACCGAACGTAGCTCTGGTACCACTGATAGTATTTTGGAAGTGGGTTGGAGTAATAGAAGGAAAGCAAAGGTTTTATTTGAAATGAAAAAGCTTATGTGGGAATGTTTAAGGATGAAAAATAGTTAAGGATTTTGGCAAGAGAAGGAGTAAGGGCTAATAGAAAAGAAGTTTTTGGATTGATAGTGTTTTTCACCACTACATACAAAGATTCCATTCATACCTATTTATAGGCTTTACTTATAAGATTCTAGAATTTTCTACTAACTTCATTGTTTCTACACTATTCTATTTCTACACATTTCTTCTTCATCTTCTTTTTTTTCTTTTTCTAGAATCATGTTGTAGCTTCTACTAATAACTAGCATACATATATGTTTTCTACATAATTCTAGAAATTTGTGTCAATTTTTAACAAGGCCAAAAGCCAAAAGCCTATGTGGTTTCCAATGTCATCAGTGTGGATGAAGATGGTGGAAGACGTTCTATGAAGATAAGGTGAGGTTGATTAGGTTTTTCAAAATCTAAAGATAAGGTAGTATAAGAAATATTTTGAGTAAAAGAAAACCTACATTTCAAAATATGTATTAACAAAAACTAGCTTGTCAAAACTCAAGTGAATCTGGTCTAACAATATTTAAGAGAATGAAACAAATAAAATGGTAGTAAAATTTAAAATAATGAATTAGTCTAATTAGTAAGCTTAATTGTTTCAGGGTATTTCACTACTTTGTATAATTAGTCATATTTTCGGATATTAATTTTGTAATGTGGCTTGGGAAGTTTAGAAACTTGATCTTTGGTAAAGTGGCTGAGATATGTTTGTTTTTGAAAAACTATAACTTGAAAGGATGTTTTAATAAAGAATTTGAACACCAAAACTATAACTTAAACACATACCAAATAATGTAGTAAAATAAAACATTCTATTGACTAAATTTCACCACCTCACATATGAATTTATGGCTGTAAATTTAAAAAACAAGTGAACATATATAATTTTTTTGGTTAATTCAATCTAATGATCAAGATCTCAGTTTTGGAATATAAGGAGTGTCCCACTGTACGCACATTCTGTGGAAAACAATCTGGTATGTGAAATTTGACAAAGGTTTTACATTGATCATATCAGTTTCAACATAGAATTCCATCTCAATCTGATATAATGTAAGGGATGTATATAGTTGGATATGAAGCTATGTTTTCATCTGTAGCTAGAGGCCTACAAAGTTTCAACCACAGTGATCACTTGATACTGACAAACTGACAATGATTAGAGAGTTATTTTGAAATCTCCATGTAGCAAACAAAACAATAATGGACATGATAGTAAACTACACGACCATTATTGTGCCACACTGTAAAGTATAATAAGCAAAATACTGCAAAAGTGACCATTTGCATTACATATCATATACTGAATAAACTCTCTCTATACACAACCAATTGTTGGAAGAATGAAAGCTCATGGGATTTTTGTTCTTGCACTTGTCCATCTTCATTCCATTTCACCAGCAAAGCAGCGCGATTATTTCCAAAGATATCACCAGATTCAGTATAGCATACTGGTGACACAATGCTACAAGAAGGAGTGTCACAGAAATTCAAAGTAATCATCTTACTCCAGGATGTATGATCTCCGTACTCTTTCATTGACCATATTTCTAGTGTTTGGTCCATCGATTGTCCATTGTCTGTGCCACAAAAATTACACAGGGAGAGTAATCCTCCAAGAACGCGCAACTTGAAGCTCGGAGAATTTGTATAGTCAATATTATTCGGCAAAAGTATGTCCCTAAAATTCCTTTCTGCTAAATCAAAGCAAAGTACAATCTCCATATCCGCATCAAAGGGAAAAACCAACCAGTGAATAGCGTTCTCAAAGAATGTCCCCCAGAATGCATGACGTGATACATAAGGCGAATCAGTATAAACTCTATTCCATGCATTTTCACTTACTGAATAGTATTCTGCAAATTTTATATAATCGTCCCACCAAAGCAAAACCACCAAGTAATCCTCCGTGTTTCTGTCATATCCAAAACCAACATGGAACCATGTGTCATTGCTAGCATTGCTAGTGTACCTCATTGTAAAGGAATTTGGTATCTGTTTTTTGTAGTCTGTTGAAGGATTCCATACATAAAAAGTCCTTGAAATTCCAACAAGTATAAAGCTCCCACAGGAACCCCAGATATACATGTCATAATACACAAGTTGAGGGCCCAAAAAACATGGTGACAATATTTTGTATGCAGAATCATCGTTTAAGGATTTGTTGAAGTCAATGGTTCTGAAATGAGGAATCATACCCGTCCTCCACAGGAGTTTCTCGGTTTTTGGGGCGGAGTCAAAGTGATTTTTTGCGAATTCTGGTTGAGAAATGAGATCACACCAATGCCTGCACACGCATTTGGAACGCAACACTGTCCCAACTTTCGACTTGTAAAGAATTTCAAGGATCAAATCATCTGCATTGGAAAAAAAAATCTCTATAACACGCCACCAATCACAAGTAACATATTGTGTCATAAAAAAACCATTGATATTCAAATTGTATAATTTTTTTATTACATACGTACTTATCTATGAATAATATATTGTATGATTACATGGATTTGAAAGAATAAATAATAACCTAAACAAGACTAACAATTTCGGTAAAACATGTTTCGATTATTTTAATAAAAGGGAGTAAAAACATCAAACCTTCAACCATTGTGTCTGTCGCGTACTATTCAGTCTTATTCTTCTGATTTCCAAATTATCTACGCTTGTGGTTCTCAAATTCTCTTACTCAAGAAAAATCTTATACTCTTCTGATTTCCAAATTCTCTACGCTTATGGTTTTCCAATATTCTCTTTCTCACACCATATTTCTCTTTTTATAGTTCTCAAATTCTAGGAAAAACGTTCACTACCCTAAAACAGTGCATGTATGGTATTTACAGTATAAATAAATAACCAAAAAAATTCTAATAATTTATCAAAATATAAACCAAATTAATTACAAATTGAATATGTAGTGAATAATCGACCACACGTTCAAGTAATATCTTGGTTTGTATTTATTAGCGGGCGAATAAAATTCCAATTTATTTGAGATTCTTTACTACAGAATAGGTCTTACTGTTTTAAAATCTGTTAGCAATAAACTTCTTATTTATCGCATTTTTTTTATGATTATTTATAGCTTAAATATTTATCATTTAAGCATGCGTGTCACACTTCTCTGGTCTATGCCTATGCCAACCTTGCTCTATCCTTATCAAAAAACTTGTTGCTTCCCTAGTAAACAGGGGTTTGATAAGACCTGTTAAAATAAGTGAATTGGAGTATCATATGTGATGAAAATAATAAAGTTGAATAATATATAAATAAAATAAATAAATTTATTAACTTACGATTTTAGATTGAATAATGTCAGATCACTCTTCAATTTTATTTTATCTTAAGTTCAATGCAAACAACGAAGAAGGAAAATGAAAACACAGTCAGAAAAACAAACCTCACGACATATTTTTGGTTGATTTCTGCTGCAGCACGTGCTTATGGCTCATGCAGTGTTCCTTGTTAGGTAGGTTGATCAAATACTATTTTATTTTCGTTGTTATGATCCATTAGTTTTCGTAGAAGGTTGTTATGGGTAATCAAAATCAAATATATATAATGAATTATGTCAATATTCACTATAAAAAATAAAAATACAAAATTAAAACATTAAATAATGTATCGCTTTTTAATTTAGCAGGACATGATAAGACATTAAAGAGTACTATATATAGTACTTCACCTTCTCCTACACATTTATATTACTCCATGTACTATAAAATAAAATAAAAAATAAAAAAATTGTACAATATATAAATAAGTAATATTTACAAAAATATAATTGCAAGATTTTTATTAAAGATGCGTCACGTAATTGATTTTGATCTATTAATTTTTTTTAGTTTTATTATTTAATTCAATAAATAAAATTGACATAACCAATAATTCATTTTTTTATTTTTCTAGAAAGAAAAATTATCTCTCTTCTTTCTTCATGATGATTTACATAACGGTTCTTTTACATAGATTTTGGTTGCATTCATTTTTTTTATTGTTTTATTTTCTTTATTTGTTATTCTCGTAATCTTTTATATTATTGATTTTTCATTATCTTTTATTTATTTTTCTTTACATATGTATATCTATTTTTATTAAGCATCTTATTTTTCTCGTATGGATTCAACTTGGTAAATTTTGATGATTAACACTAAAATACATATTTAAAATACCACTTTTTTATATATGTATATTTGTACGTTAGAATATATTTAAAATATATAATAAAAATTTTTTCTTTAAATATCATTTTATTTTTATCTATTTAATTTTTTTTCTATTTTATTTTATCACATAAAATATTTTTTAAATTATTTTTCTAATTTATTAAATAAGTTACAATAATTTTTGTTTTGAAATAAACCGGATGATTTTAAAATTATCAATATTAATAAAATACGATAATTATCACGTGCGAAAATGTGAAAAGTTTATTGAAACTATACACATTAAAAATATCGGTGAATTTTATTAAAAAAGTTATTTTTATTGAAATTGAGATTAGGGTTAGGTATTCTCCTGTAATTATTCTGATAATCAAAATACGGAAACCCTCTTTTTATCTAAGAGAAGTTTTTGTCCGCTGCAGCATTAGGGTTGCAAAAGAAATCCTACTAACTTCAATCTAATGTCAAAATTCCTAATACCACTGTCATATGTTCCATCCAAACAGATTAAATCTTGGCAACAACATGATTTTCTCTCCGAAAATATGTGATGATGCTCTGAAGATGCTTGTGGTGAGAATTCCTACATTTATACCTAGTTGTTTTATAAAGATAAATATACTTACATCTTTATGAGATATATGTGATATTTTTTTACTTTTTCTCACTCCTCTACTTTTCTGCATTTATTAGTAACTTATGCAAACTCAATTAACTCTAAGATTTTTGCTTAACTGTTATGGAGCAATCTGTACTAAATTACTTTAGGTTTTGTCAAGATTTTAGTGATAAAGAGGACTTATTTTCAGCTTAGTCCTTGTCTCTATGACTTCCTTTATACATTTTTTTTTCTATTTCATGGTTCAGAGGGGTAGTGAGATCATAGCAAGCTCAAAATGTTTGAGTATTTCACTACTTTATCTTATTAGTCTTATTTAGGTTTCATTAAGTGGTAATTGATTCTCAATCATATTTTATAAAGTGACTAGTAACTAGAGTTCAAACGTGTATTACAGCTAGAGAAGTTTAAAATATATTTTGTTCTTGAAAAGGTATAAGGGGTGATTTAATAAAAAACTATATCACATTTCAATTAACCATGGCATGACCTACCATGTTGATGTTTCAATTTTTCATAACATGATATTTAATAAAAATAATATTTTCAACCAGAAGAGGAAAAGTGACATTAATCCTTTCATAAAATAATTTTGTATTTGCATAGAAAAAAGTATTCAAACAAGTTATTTCAGTCTATCATATTCAATTTTATAACTTTTGAAATACAGTATGTATTATTGCTTGAAAATGGAGCAACTGAGTTTGTTATTTTTTTTTTTTTAAAATTGTATTGATAGATGGAAAGATAAATTGTATTGATAGTCATATAATTATGTATGCAACCTTAAAGGCCTCTAAGAGTACACTTGCTTTAATGTATGTGTCTTTACCTTCATCGGGACAATTTGTTAACCCATTAATGCAGAGTTATTCCATCACTTAGCACCAAGGAATATTGATTCCAAAGTTACAATTTTGAAAATAATTTTGATTCAGCATCTTCGTACATCAGTGGGATTTTTGGAAGAATTTTGTAAAGGAATTAATGTGATTTTCTTCCCCTCTGCATTATATAAAAGTAAAAAAAAAAAATCATTCTTTTGTTGTATAGATTCTGCAAAATTTAATGTATATTAATAAGTTTTGATGAGTTATACTATATTTAAGTTTTGTTTAAAACACCACTTTTTTATTTTATCTGTTTTTTACTATTTGATCTTATTTTTGAATTTTTTTTATAAATGATTTTCTCAATTTATTGAATCTTATATTTATTATAATATTTTTCTTCGTATGAATAAATCTTGTTTTCAAAATCGAAATAATATTAAACTCTTAGAAAATCGAAATATAAGTTAGTATAAGAAATATGTCGAGAAAAAAAAAACTAATTTTCAAAATGTGTATTAAAAAAAAAACTAGCTTATCAAAACTCAAGTGAATCTGGTCAAATAATGCAAGAGAAATAAACAAATAAAAAATGGTAGTAAAATTTAAATTCATGAAATTGGTTTTAATAAATTTGTTACACCATCCAACAGTTATTTGTATTACTATCTGGATAATGAGAAAATTGCATTAATTTAGTCAAATATTTTTAGTCAGAACTGTTATGGACCGAGATTGAGACAAAGACATCCAATTATATTTATAAATGAATGCTTTAACTTGATAAATATATATTAAATTGATAAATCTTTTAAGATCATGAGAATTTGATTTTTATGCAGTCTTAAAAATTGTTTTCCCTCTACAAACGTGAATTTTTAATAGGACAAAGTCAAGTGGCATTAAATCTTTCTGAGATACATTCACTGTTAATTTTTTATATGATACTATTTTAATAATCTATTTCTGAATCTTCTACTTCTCTTCAACCTTTATTAACCTTCATTTTGTATTATGTCTTGGAGAGTATTATAAATTTATACAAATTCAACTCACCTAAATTATTGTGTAAAGTTTTTGTTTGACTATTTTGGAATAATCTGTAGAATTTGCGAAGAATTCAGGGGCAAAGATGATTTATTTTCAGCATGGTCTTTGTCTACTTGGAGGTTAAAGTATAAACCTACTCTTCATGATTTCCATTTGAAAGGGTGGTGAGACCAAAGCAAGCTCAAAATGAATTTGTTTTGGATATGATTTTGTATCATTCAAATTTTTATGTTCATTAAAAGTCATGATATATGTTCGTTTTTGAAAGACTATAAAGGGTGATTTAATAAAACACAAGATGACATTTTTATTAACCATGACCTATGATGTTGGTGTTTCAATTTTCCAGTTGATGACAGTTATTAAAAATGAATATTTTCAATCAGGAGAGAAAAGTGACATAAATTCTTTTATAAATTTCTCACAAAAATCTAATTGGTGTTCGGCTTGTATTTGCATAAAAAAATTGCTGAAATAAAATGATTTCATATTCCATCATATTTAATTTTATAATTTTTAAAATACAAAATTTCTAGACTGGATTGGATTATACTAGTTGGAGATTTCAGGAGAAAGATGATTTATTTTCAGGTTGGTCCTCATTTCTTTTTAAAGTAAGTATTTCGTTCTAAATATAATTGGACGTATCGAAATCAAAACATATGGATGGAGAGGAGAAGGTATCCCATTATAATTATAAAATAACATTTGAATTTTTTATAGGTTTTCATTTGTTGGATGGAGTATATAAAATATGTA